GCTGGGCCTTAGCAACCAAAACTTCAGCGCTATCAGGTCGAGAATATAAAGGCAAAATTCGATGTTCTCAACCAAATTGGTTCAATGAATTTAATTGGCTGGGCCTTACCAACCAAAACTTCAGCGCAATTGACTTTTAGTTTGAATGTTTGATGCACAAAATTTCTAGTAGTTTTGTTGTAAAAACATTTGTGATGCACTTGAACTTAATTTTATTACTACACTTATATTTAAGATTTTTTTTTAATTCAAATCCGGCCCAGCCCTTTATACTGTCCTGGCTCCGCCCCTGATCTAGATATTGTAAAGAATATGTTTTTTTTTGAAAATAATGTAAAGAATATGTTATTTAGATAGTTAAATACTACGTAGTATGTAGTATCTCTGTATTAAAATGTTTGCTACAATAGAGTTTGACACAATATATAAGGAAAAAATAGCAAAGTAGTAGGGGTAATGAATATTGTAGAAAAAGTATGGAAGAGGGTGGAAAAGTATGAAAGAGAAGATCAAAAGTAGAAAAAGTAAGGATAATGGAGTATTTTAAAGGGAACAAGAGAAAGTGTAGCAAAAATTAAAACGCATCCCAAAAAGGAAAGAGTAGAAAACATTTCAATATGGGGGGAATAAAATGTATTAATTTACAAATAACTTAGAATCTAGAAAAAGTCTTGGTAGTCTTGCTCTAGTGATGGTGGGCACAAGGAGGCATCTTTCTTACATCCTATGGTGTATAAGCTTTTAAAACCAACATTAACTTTGCCAGTTGCCACACCTACTGTAGAGAGATTCTTTTCCACTATGAAATTAGTGAAGACTAATTTGCATAATAGAAACAGGGATAAGTTTTCAAGTGATTGTCTAATACATTTATTTTTGTTTTTCTGAAGTGTTTTTAGTTACTCTGTTCCAATAAGTTTTTTTCCTGGATCTGCTCCTGTGGTTTAACACCTTCAACATGATTTTTTGGATCAGCAGTAATCCTTCTCCATCCTAGCGAACATAAATGTGTTTTGAGATCTGAACTTACAAAAGATATTGATGCTCTTCACTGACTTGTTATTTTAGTACTCAGGATAGATGTCTCTGCTTGAAGTAATCACCAAAGCATCAGTCGAGAAAAACCGACCTGAAGCTGCTCTTAAGTACCCAATCATCTTGAACCCTGAACCTGTTATCTTTGAACTGAAACCCCAAGATCTTGATGCAAAGGATGACTTACCAGTTAAACGAGCTACTGGTTGGAAAGTCTCCGAACGTGACACTGAAATCATTGAGCTAGGGCAAAGTTTCTTCAAAAAACTGAAAAGGAAGCTTAAAAACCCTAACACTTTCAACCAAGATGAGTTTTTGAAGATCCTAGGTTCATATCTTGTGAGTATTGCAAGGAAATTAGGCACTGCAGATAATAATACTGAGTCTGATAAAGGTTATGTTGGTAAATTAGTTGGAAAGTCGGGACTATTCATGGGTAGAGATGTGAAGGGACTTGTTTTGGAGGCCTGTGTTTATCTTGAGTGCTGGGAGGTGTTAGAGAGTCTGATGGTCAATGGGCTTGTTGAGCATTCACACTTTTCAAGCTTAATTAGTAATTTGATTGAAAAGAACAGAGCAGATTTGATTGTTTTGTGCGTAAAGCATCTCTCCGATCTCCAAGCTAATGATGTCATGTGCATTTTAAAGTATTTTCTATCACTACCTAAAGATGGGCACAATAGTATTCTAAGTGTCAGGAAAGAATGGGAAAGCCAAGCATTGTTGGCCATACAACGATTGAAGGAGTGTGATGGCCAATCACTGTTGGCAATTGAGAAGGTGAAGGATAAACATCTTAGGAAAAGGTTGACATTGGTGAGAGATGCTTCTTTATTATTAATGATAGCTTATGATGGGTTCTCTGGAACAGATTTGTGTTTACATTATCTGATATCTTCAAGAAACTATGATGAAGTGATACTGGGTGCTTGTATTAGCAACTTAGATGGTTCAGAAATGATGCGTTTTGTTAGGTACTTGGGAAAGTGGCTGAAGAAGTATGATAGTTTCCCTGATGTGTGTCTTTGTCCTGAGGCATCCTCTGTGTTGGGTTTGACAGCTTGTGATTGGGTTCCAAGACTTGAAGATATCATTATATGCTTAGGATTGTTACTAGATGAGCATTTTTCTACTCTGGTCCTTCATCCAGAATTCCATGAAGAATTGAAATCCTTGAATGAAATTGTTAACTCGTTAGCAGGAGAAGCCAGATCTTGCGGTAAACTATCAAACTTAACACAAACTTTGAGAGGGGATACAAAGGTATGTCGTTCTATTTGAGCTTATTTAATTTGCATTTCTTCGTTGCATTTTTCCTTAGGCCATGTTTACGTGGAGGGGGCTTGGAGGGAAGTCAGGGAAGGCTATCAGGCTATGGACATGGATTTAGTCCATATATCATGATAAGTATATTTGAGATTTTATAGAATTTGAAGATTAACATAAAATGCGATGATATAACCAAGGTTAAAAAAGGCTAGTTCGGATATCGAGACGGTTTGTCCTGGAGAGGTGAGGTGTAAGCCTTGAGGCGAAAGCCTCAAAATATATCAAAAAATAAAACTTTAAATAACTAAAAAGAACTAAAGATATGCATAATTATAAATCCGAAGTCTCAAACAGAAACATATCTATCACATCATCAAACACGATAATTCAAAATGAGAATCTCAACACACAAACAAAAAAACACATCACACACATGACACAATGGAATTTTAATCACCATATCTTATAGCCGTATCACTATCATTATATCTTATAGCCTTATCACTATCATCATATCTTATAGCCTTAACACCATCATCCCTTCCATCATTCTTATCATTGTGCAATAGTATGAAAATATTGGAACAAATTTCACTTGCCAGGCTTGTTAGTGTTTAGAACATATATGTGATCACATGTTTAACGTATGAGCTTTTTATTAAATAAACTTTACTGGACCTTATATATGTTACAACCACAGTAAGAAGATACAAACAAAGAATTTCCTGCCTCAAAAAATGCCTTGAGGCGTAAGCCTCTTATCTTTAAAAAAACAACCCTAGCCTCAATATCACATTGAGGTGCGCCTCAAAACCCACCTCTTAACTGCCTTTTTGAAACATGGATATCAGACTTCATTTACAGATTTACTCCTCTTTATATCAATTGTGTCTAAGTGCACTTGATCAAGCACAATTCGTAGTTATGGGATAATTGGAATTAATGACGTGAATGTTCGACAGTTTCATGAGCAGTGCTACACTGCTAACACTTACTCCCTCCGTCTTGCTAAGATTGTCCCAGACGCTATTCACTTGGTCAACACAAATCACTCTTAATCTCTTACTTTATATATCAATTTTTTTTATCAAATTTGATTCTAGTTTTTGCGACTATGTAAAGTTTTTAATTTAGTTTCTGAATATGTAATTTTTATTTTTTAAAAATAATTTGAGTGCACACAGGGATCAGTTGCTTTATCGTCGGTCAAGCATCGTAAACCGAATTGTCCCAAACACGTGGGACGGAGGTAGTATTAAAATTAATCCTCTGCCTTGTGGAAAAGTGATAGCTAATTTTTTTGTAATCATTGTTTGTGAATTTTCTTCATTAGATTTCAATTGTCAACATAAAGCAAATTTTTATAGACAGCTTTCTACTCATGATTTATTTTTATGCAGATCCACCAGATTTTACAAACATAGTTGATGTTACTGATTCCTTTTAACGGACTTTGTTAGGATGCTAATTTGGAAACCACTATGGAAGGAACTGAAACTGAGGATAAGGTGAGATGAATATATTAGCCTCTGCAGGCTTATGTTCTTATCTGCATTTTGGCCCCTAGTTTGTTCTTTATTTGCATTATTTTCTGTGTGTCATACAATGCTATTCCACATGGAAAAGGAATAAGGATGTAGTGAAATCACAATTCAAATCTTATGAATGTCTAAGATTACAATAATCATTATATTGTATGTCAATGTATATATATTGGCCTTAGTTAAAACTGTGACATGGGCGTTTCTTTCGTGGAAGTTCCATGTTTCTTTCATTTTTTATACTTCAATGGAAAGGAAATAGCAATGGGATTAAAAACTTATGTTTGTGTTTCCTTCACAGGATATTCCATCTCTCAGTGACGTCTTTGTTGTGACACGGACACGCCTTTCCAAAACAATGAAATCGTTATGATCGTTTGATATTTCACTTTGATGTTGGATTGCTTTGATTGAACAATTGCGTACCAAATGTTGTGGTGTTGCTGTACTGGAACTAGTGTTATTTTACATTTTGCACCTGTGACTGCGTAATTGGGTTTTGCTCTCTGGTTTCACTAAGACCAATTCTGTTGTAACACAATGTCAACATTATATTGTTTGATCGTATGTCGAAATTACTTGCTGCCTGCTTTAGTGGGCATCTTTTCTCTGCTCATCAGAGAATTTATTTTTGGAGGTTTTCCTTGAATATTACTACGTAGAATAGAGTTTAGTGTACATTGAATTCAAGTATATTGAAGTTTAACTCCATTAACTCCAAAAGAACGACTAATAAGGTAATAAATTAGAAAATTATGAAGGTTGTTGCCGGTGGTGTCAATTGTTTTCCATGACTTTCTAATTTGCTGTTGAATGTAGTTTTCGGTGACAGTAGGGAGGGAAGACAGGGAAGTAGGGTGGACCTGGAGTAGGGATTTGGTTTTGGTCAGTCCTTGTGGAAAAATATACTTCCTCCGTTGTTAAATAAATGCAACGGTCAACATTTCACACTTGCCGAGATACAACTTTGACCATCAATATATATAATTTTGTATTAGTAAAAAAATTATAAAAAATAGATTTTGAAAATTTACAATGAGACATATTTAACAATATTTTTTTCATAAAAAAATATTAACAATTATTAAATAAAACGTAGTCAAAGTAGAACATGTGAATAGTGTAAATTTTCATATGTTGCATTTATTTAAGAACGGAGGTAGTAGGACCTAAGATTGGGACCTCTGCAACTCCTTTAATTTTGGATAATTCTGTTCGCAGACGTCAAATTGCTATGCACGACCATTTAATTAAATAAAATAAATAAAAAATAACTTCAATATCTATATTGCCCTCATGTGAAAAGATAGATAGCCTCAGCAAAACACAACTCCAAAGAAGACAAACAGCTTCCGTCCTCTGGAGCCCTTCTGTTATCGTCAAATGTCAATATAATTTCTGGGGCATTTCATCTTGGATTGGGATCGGTTAAGTAGCAGAGTGACAGGAAGTCAGTAAACAATGGTTCATGTAATAATAGTTTGGTCATAATCCTCCTTGAAGATGATGATGGTGATCAACTCACTAGTCACTACAACCTAAAAGTTCGATCATAAGTAAGAGTTGCCCATCTTCATATAAATGCAAAGCCACAATTCTAATGAACATGCGGCGGCTTGAGAAGAATCGTTCATGTAAGGTGCGGGCGTTGCATAGCTTAGTTCATGACTCCTTTACTCCATAAATTTTCATGGCCCACAAAACCAGATCTGTTAGCTCAACTCATCTCCTTTGGTGCTTGGTTGGGTGCTTTCATCTTGTTGACTATTCAGAGTCGGCTCAACTCCTCTCCTTCCACGCTTTGTTTTCTTCAGACTTGTGAGTTGTTACCGTGAACAGAAATTTGGAGGTTGCTAATATAATTGCCCTTTAATTTGTAAGCATTTTGAGAGAAAAAGTCGTATATTATTAGTAGTGTAAACATGTGTTTGTATTAACATCAACGGATCAACCTATTTACCATTCAAAAAAACATCAACCTATTGACTTGAATTAGTTAAATAGAATTTTAACAATAAATCTTCTACGGTGTATCCCAATTCCCAATGACTATATTCTATTTGAAGTTTAAAACGGAAAAGAAAAAACTACCAAGAATTCAAGGAGGCAATGCAAACTTTTTAAAATGTATATTCAATAATCCAAATAATGAAATGTACGTGTGTATTAAAGAGAGTAAGTCATTATTAAAACATGTTTTACGAATTATAGTTTCTAATATCAAAACGATTTCCAATTTTCAATTTAATAAACTGTAAATACTTCTCTAGGGCTGTCTGCCGCTAGGGTTACTCTCTTCCACTATTGGCATCACCGAGGAGCGGCCACCGATAAGGCGGATTGTTTTGATAGGCATCTGGAAGATTGTTTTGTTTGGCGTTTGGGGCGAGGCTCGCTGCTATTTTCTTCTTTGGCAAGTAGCGATCACGACACATTTGGGAGCACCGGGCTTTGTAGACGCTAAGGATATCGACGGTTCGGTTTTTGGAGACAGTGAGGGCGGGGCTTGGTTTTTTTTATGGATGATATTGTACATCAATACAAACAGATGGGCATTGCAGAGGATAAAGAGGAGCTGATCTTTGATGATGATGATGAAAGGCACACGGCTAACGATGGGAAGATGACTTTCCCGTTGGTTGGTAAGGTTCTCACAGACCGGAAAATTAAATTACAGATATTCAAGAAACTGATGGCATCTCTGTGGAGGCCAGTCAAAGGTGTGTCCACTAAGGAAATTGGTGAGAAAAGATACATTTTTTCTTTTTATCATAATTTGGATATGAGATGTGTTTTAGATGAATGTCCGTGGTTCTTTGAAAGGAACCTGTTGATACTAAAAGAAATTAAGGCTAATAATGTGAGAACTTAGTCTGTATGAGACTGATTTTTGGGTTCAGGTTCGTAATGTGGCGTATGGTTTCATGAATCTAGGATTTGCTAGAAAAATTGGTAACTATTTTGGAAATTTTATTAGCTTTGATGATAGGATAGTTAGTTTGATGAAAAATGGGAGGTCTATATGCGCATTAGGGTCCACACGGATATTAGGATACCCTTGAAAAAAGGAACCACGCTGATCGAAAAAAGGGGGTATCAGCTGGTGGGTGGAATTCAAGTATGGAAAGCTCCCAAATTTTGTTTTTTTTTTCTATGGGATTATTGGGAATTCTGATAAGTTTTGTCCAGTAATGTATGAGGAAGATAACATCACCTTTGCTAAAACTTATGGAGTTCAACTTAGAGCTGAGGTGTGGTGAAGACTAGTTTAACAGGAGGAAATAAGTGGCTAGTTGAAGGTTTCTCAAGTACTGGTATGAGAGTACTGCAGCGGAGTGATAGTCAGGGCACAGGAGGGCAGGGCTGGAAGGTGGCTACTATAGGAACTCGAGATAGTTCTATTAAGGAAGGGAACTCAGTGAGCCCGAGGGAGGTGTCGCGAGTGCAGAAGGATATGGGAAGAGAAGGCAGAGGAGGATGCAGAAGGAGAGGACATGGAACTGGACAAGCAAAAAAACGGAGAGGAGGCGAGCCTCAACCACTAGGCTTGCCGGATTGTGGGAGGATTCTAGACAGACCGTTTGGTGGCTTGTGGCGTGACACTTAAAGCTGGAGAAGAACTATTTTTTATTTTATGATTTTAAGACTCTTACATTAAGTTTGGGTGATGATAGGTCTACTTCAACCGTATTTGGCTCATGTAAGCCCATTATAGGATCAACGAGTTATATTTCTTATTTGATGGTGATTAACTCTAATCTGGTTCGATGACTGATGGTTGTCTATGGTTCCTTTATCGTTTTAAACCCCTTCTGAATGCTAATGTTGTGATACTAACGTAAGCCCCTTCTTCAAAAAAAAAAAAAGAATTATAATTTCTAATAATAACGACTTGGACTTCAATAAGAGCTACCTAAGTATTCTCGACTTAACATTATAGTTGATGAGAACGACATTAAAAATATGAAAAGAACGACATTTTGTTTCCCTACCTTTGATTGCCTTTATTTTAGTGGGAATAAGACTATTTTTATAAGTAAACTACTTCATTTATTGGGAATTATGGGTGGGCATATTGATTCGGTTTGACCGAACCAAATCATATCAAAATCGAACTAAACCAAATTGAAATCGAACAATATATAATTTGGTTTGAGTGTAGTAGTATTTTTTATCTAAATTGAAATCGAGAAAAATTGAATAAAATTGAATTAACAACTAACAAACCCAAACCGAGTCGTACTTAAACGAGTCAAATCAAACTGAATTGTCTGATCATGGATTGAGGAGACTCTGTTGCTATTATGAGTCTAATAAAGTCATAAAGAGTATGGTGACCGTAAATGTCAGTAAGAACTCTATGTTAACGATTCAAGTCCTTTGGAGGGGTCTGATCATAGAATCTTTCTTAGTCTAGATGGAATTTTTGGAAGATATGTGATGTATTTCGAGATATTGGATGACTAGTGATGGCCCGATTCGAGTCTGCCCATGAACCGGCTCGGCCCGCCATTGTGTAGGACCGGTTCCGGGCCTAGGCCCGGCCCGAGGGGTTGGGCGGGACGGTTCCGGGCTACCCTATCCTTTGGTACCGGTCCGGCCCGGGGGGTTGGGCGGGACGGTTCTGGGCTACCCTATCCTTTGGTACCGGTCCGGCCCGGGCCTCTTTTTTTTGTTTAGTTTTTTTTTCCCAATGTTTTTTTTTTCCGTGTTGGTCTGGGTGTTTTTTTTTTGAGGGGAGGGGGTTGGGAGGTTTGGGGGGTGAGGGGGGAGGGTCGGGGGTTAACTAGAAAACCAAAAAAATTGTACAGACCCGGGGACCGGCCCGGACCCGGTGGAATCCCGGGCCGGTTCCGGGCCCGTAGCCAAATCCCGAAACTGGAGAACAAAAAGCGCGACTTGCGTGTGCGGGCGACCTGCACACACGAATGCCGTCCGAAAATCTATCTTCTAAAATAGCGTTCCTATAAGCTCTAAAAAAACTCTCCCAGCTAACATTAGTCTGAGTGCTAACATTGTACACGTGTATCATTTATATTTTTGCATTCAAGATTCTTAATTATAATAAACCATTGGATTTTCTCCTTAGTGTCTTGTATAATAAGACTGAAACATATATTATATATAGACAAATTAAAGTGTACAAATAGGACTAAATTCCTAAAATATTTCTTATTCAATCCTCTTTTTTAGAAGTATTCAATCCAATTTTGAAAATAAAAAACTAATTAATCTTATGTTTGCATATATCTATATTTTAAAGTAATTTCTTACATATTTATTACAGTGACGTACTTCAGTACTTGTCACGAAGATAATAATAAAAATGTGAGAAGAGTCATTAGAAAATATTGAGCATAAAAATCAAATGGATATTTCACCAACGTTACACAACTTACAAATCGAATACAACCAAAAGATATATGTAACAAATTAATCAACGATTTAGGAAATAACTTGCCCTAAATGTTGTTAGAGCATAGAGCAAACACAATCTTATGGCGCATGAAGTTGTGCAGCTAGTTTTTCCCGCAGTTCTTTTCTCAATATTTTCCCGGAGGGCGACTTTGGAATGGTTTGGAGGAAGTATACTTTGTGCAGTTTTTTATAAAAAACCACCTGCACTTGTAGAAACAAAATGCGCATTACTATGTTATTTGAGTACCATGTGATTCGATGATACTATTATGACAATCGGAAAGGGGTAACATGGTCGAAAGTCAAACTCATAAGAATATTAACAAAAAAAAATCACCATTATTATAACAAAGATTATACTAAATTGACTCATTTCACAGAAGAGTACACTTTTACACTTTTTTCATAGGGAGTACTACTCATACTTTTTTCTTTGCTTTAACAAAAGAGAAAAGGGTCAAATAAGGCCACGTACTAACCAAAAAAAGTCAAATAAGGCCTTATTTAAGAGGCTCTGCCCAGCCGTCGCCATTTGGGGTGGTTCCCGGTGGAATTTTTTGATGAAATTTTTTGAGCATCTTATTCATTAAATCTAGTTTACTCATACCAAATTTCAGCTAAAACTTCAATCGGGAAGCCATTCAAATGAATTCTTGAAGATAACTGCGCAGTTAAAAGCGCAGTTATCTTCAAGAATTCATTTGAATGCCTTCCCGATTGAATTGTTAGCTGAAATTTGGTATGAACAAACTAGACTTAATAAATAAGATGGTCAAAAAAATTCCACCAAGAACCAGTCCAAATGGCGAAGGCCGGACAGAACCTCATAAATAAGGCCTTATTTGACCTTTTTTGGTTAGTACGTGGCCTTATTTGAACCTTTTCCCTTAACAAAAAGCATAAACTTTATCATATTTATTTCAAACAATTGTACTGATACTCAACAGTTCTAACTTTTAGGACAGAAACCTGAAACTAATAAATATGCCCAGAAAGCAGAAATAAGCAGAATCAACTGCATTAGGCCATTTTGTGTATAAAAATATCGCACCTGTTTGGCAATAAATTCTTTTACAGAATCTTCCGTGAGATCAACCCCATCGGAGGATCTAACCACAAACGCCACAGGGATTTCCCCTGCTCCATCATCTTTCTGCCTGCATATTTATGGATGCAATCGTTTAATATCTCATCTCAAATTTTCATTTCAAAACAACTATTCCATTTCCTGGTTTAGAATAGAATAATAGAATATAGCCCAATATCACCTATAACTATATATAGTATACTTTAATAAAGTGTATCAAAGTAGTCCTACGTTATAAAAAACATCTATTTGTCAAATATGGCAAAATGTCACATAACTTACAAACATCATCTGGGAACTTTCTTAACAGGGAATTAAGAAAATTTCCTTTTGTACACACCCCGATTTTATTTGTTTACACATGTAATTCGTTTAAGAATGCCGAATTTTGAAAATTGTTGCACGCTTGCTCAGCGGGTGAAAAATGTTTATAAAAACGGGTACATCAAGAATTAATGTCCTAGTTATTTTAAAAAAGAACTTCTCCCATCCATCTAATTCAACTTTGGATGATCACTACTTACGGTACAACGGCAGCATCCACAATCATCGGGTGGGTGACGAGCAGACCTTCGAGCTCAGCGGGTGGCACCTAATTATTAATTTATTAAGAACAAAAACAACAGCTCTAATTATCATTATCTGGAACTCTGAAGGAGATTGAATAAAGATGGAATTAGGGGCTTGCCTGGAAGCCTTTGAACTTGATGAGTTCCTTCACTCTGTCAATGATAAACACTTCGTCATCGTCGTCCACATACCCAATGTCGCCGGTGTGCAGCCAACCCTCCGCATCAACCGTGTGAGCGGTGGCTTCCGGATCATTCAAGTATTCTGAAAACCAAATTCAGAGTTCAGATATTAGTTTATTGATTACTCCCTCCATAACATAATTCAAAGTATATAAGAGTTTATGTTTAAGATAATTGATAAATGTACTATACATTTTCTAAAGTAATTTCTAAATGTACTATACATTTTTAAGATAATTTATAAATGTACTATTCAGGTATTCTGATCACCAAATTCGAAGTATCGGTACTGTTTACATTACTAAATATAGATGTGACATTTTTTTATACGACTCAAAAAGGAATATGTGACACTTATTCTCAAACGGATGGAGTATTTAATTATATAAAAAAAATAGGAAGGATTCAAGATAGGTGATTTGCCTTTCATGATTTGAGATCCGCGTATGTATATTTCGCCGGGTTGGTTGCGGCCAAGAGAGCAACCGGTCTCGGTGTCAGTCACCTTCATCTCGGCGTTTCTGACCACAGAGCCGCATGAGCCAGACTTGGTCGGGAGGGGATGCTTTGCGAATGCCGAGCACATTGAGATCACTGGTCCGGCTTCTGTCATTCCATAACCCTGCATTTTAACATACCCCCAGAATTTAGAGCATTGGTAAGATACTCTATGGTAAGCGTCAAAACCAGGTTAAAAGTCATGAAGCACCCCTTAAATGGACTTAATTGGGCTTTATCCAATGAAGAAGTCGTTGAGTGATTACTTTTTTGGTTGATTTTTATTACATTCGGGTAAACGATCCCATTTACTTCTTATTCTCTCCGTTACACGTTCATTTTTGTAAAATTATACATGTACATAGACAAGTAGAGGTTGTAGACACGTTCAGGGAGGTAAGACTTGCCTCCTATAGTCATGGAGCCCTTTTCCGACTCTCACATTTAAGAGATGCCATTTCGCGACGAGCTACATTTTTTCTTACTACCTCCGTCCCGGGGACAAGTTCCCACTTTCCTTATTTGGATGTCCCAAAATAAACTTCCAATTTCCCTAAATGGAAAGTTATACTACATCAAATCAGTGCCAAACCGTGCAAAACAGTGTAGAAACAGTGCCAAACAGTAACTTTATTTTCTTAAAATGTGTGAAAGTCAACCAGGGAACTTGTTTCCGGGACGGAGGGAGTATATTGCAAGCGTATTTCTGTACTAAACAAAAAGAATATAAAAAAAACTCGAATTGATTGAGATGTAGAATTAGACCGGAAAGTTTCGTACAGAGTAATTAGTTGACAAATGAGGCTGACAATTTTGAAATGTTAAAAATAGATTACCAAATAGGTAGATTCTATGGTATCATAATGTAGTATACCTTTGTTACATGAATCAATCAAAATATTGTAGTTGAGTTTTTTTTAAGTAACGATTTTATAGATTAAATAGGCAAATCATTAGTCATAAGGCTTACAATATATGAAGGGGGTACATCCAACCAAACTCTACAATCAGACAAAGAAACGACAACTCTAGCAAGTTTATGAGCTATACGATTCGCTGATCGTTTAACATGTGAGACATTAATATTCGCATTAGACGCGATCATGATCC